TTCATTGTTTTTTATTCTTTTTTCTTTTTGTTGTTCCAATTGGGTGATTTCTGCTATTTTGTCTTCTAAATCACTGATCCGATCCTCTGCTTCATCTAATCTACTGGTGATCCCTTCGAGTGTGTTCTTCATTTCAGTTATTGTATTCTTTAGTTCTAACTGGTTGTTTTTTATGATTTCTCTATCCTTTGTTATGTCCTCACTAAATTTCTTAAACATTCTTATCATCAGTGTTTTAAACTCTGTCTCTGAAAGGTTGGATACCTCTGTTTCATTTAGTTCCATTTCTAGAGATTTCTTCTGATCTTTTACTTGGGATATGTTTCTTTGTTTCTTCATTCTGGCTGTTGCTCTGTGATTGCTTCAATGTATTAGATAGATCACCTATGCCTCTCAGTAGTTGCTGGGTGCTCTTATAGTAGGTATCTTTTATATTCGGAATGCACAGTCTCTGTATTCTCCTGTCCCGTGTGTCCCAGAGGTATCGCTATTGAAGTTGCTCTTTAATTACTTTTGGCTTGTCAGAGGGTGGGATTGACCCTCATACTGATTAGCTGGGAGAATTAGCTCTATTCACAGTATATGAGATGCTGTGTGGAGTTTGATCCCCTCAGAGGAGGCTTGGCCACTGTGGGTTCTTGTGCCTGTGGAAAATGTCCTTTGAGGGAGCTACTTGTAGGTTTAACCAGGTAGTACTCTGGTTTTGTCTAACACTGGCCTCTGGGTATATTGGTTCTGGTGTCTCTTGGGCAGGGCTCCCACTCAGAGCCATTTCAGACCTGCCTGTTCCCAGTCTGTAGCTAACTGGTAGGTGCCTCAAAGCTGTACACAGTTGGCTGCTGCCCTTGCTGGGGTCATGTGGGGATGGTCTCTGTGTGACCTGAAGCTGGCTGCCCCCTATATTGGTCCTGAGGTAGTTTAGGAAAAGGCCCAGGGCCCCCTAGGCCTGTTGCCACCTGTCTGAGAAATGACAAAAACAAAACAGATGAAAGAAAAGGAGGAAAAGGAACAAAATGGTGAAAGAAATAATAATAATAATAATAAAGAGAAGGGGGAAGAAAAACAAAGGAAAGAAAAGGAAAAAAGAAATTAAAAAAACAAACAAACTCTCTGACTGCTTTAATCTGCAGACCACTTGCTCAGCAACAGACAGTCTTTGGGTGACTCAGCACCAGCTATGTTGGGGGAAAGGGTGCAACACATCATGCGCCAACCTCCCTCTCAGGCTTGCAGGTAGTTTCCCACAATTAGCTGCTGTATGCTCTGGAATGTTCTCCTCACCAAAAATCCTCACACGTTGTTGCGGGCTGTCTGCTGCTGCAAAGAACTGGAGGTGGGGACCAGGCACCAGGGGCTCAGGGTGCCCCTGGCAACACAGCTCTAGGTGTGAGGGGCAGGCCCCCAAGGCACCATGGGGTGTTGTCAGTGGCCCTCACCAAGTCAGAGCAGCATGCACTCTGACACCAGCAACCAGCCTGCTCAAACGTGCCACGAATGCCCTGGTCGGATCACGAAGGCGCACAGCTCACAGCCCAACACTCCCAGGAAAACTCCCAGTCTCAGCCTGTCCCAATCAGCTACTTGCAGATCAGGCTGAGCAGCCCGACAGCCAATCACCACCCTGGCAACTCTGCACATGCAGTGCTGAGAGCAGGGACCCAAGGCGGCTTGCGCACACCCGTGTCTCAGTGAGCAGCCTGTTGGAGCTGGAGTGTGCCCACCAGGCGTTTCCCTGGCTACACAGCACAAGCAGTGCAGAGGGTGGGTATTCAAGTTCACATGCACGTGCACGAACACATGCATGCCTGCGCCAATTCCACCAGATCATTGAGGTTCCGGACCTGACCCTCTGTGGGAGGGCCCAGCCATGAAAAAATTGCGCCCTCCTGTGCACTACTCATGTGCAAGCTGCACACCAGGGGAACAATGGTCCCCAAGCCTCCAGCTCCCTCACCAAAGGCACTCAGTTCAGTCTTTCCCCGCAGGCTCCTGGGCACCGCTCACACAGCTACTCCCTCCACCAGGGACCAGGTGAGTGCTCACCAGTGAGAGAGTCCATGTGCCAGCTCCACCGGTTCTATAGCCACCCTTAGCCTCACTGAGTTGAGCAAAGAGAGTTCTCAGTGATTTCTACTGCCAGCTATCGTGGAACTCCTCTTCCCGGCAAAGTAACTCTGGGCTGGTGAGCTTGGCGTGGGGCTGGAAGGTCTCTCCCCACTGCTGAGGTGTCCCTCACGGGGTTTGCCCTCTCTCCTCTCTGCCCCTCCTACCAGGCTCGACGTGGCCTCCTCTTTAAGTCCTTTGTTTAGAGGTTCTGTTCATCTAGTGTTCAGGGGTTGAATGTTGTATAAATTATTTGTAATTTTGGTGTGATCCTGGGAGGCAGTTGGCACAGCGTCTGCCTATTCCACCATCTTACGGGCAGTCTTTATTCATTTCTAAATCTGCACTTTACTATTTTTAAAATTATTATAGGAGATATGATGCGACTCATGGGGTTTCTGAATCTAATAAGCATAAGACTTTTAATAGTTAATAACTTTTTTGTATACCTTTAACCTAGGGAGGGATTATTAAGCAAGAAAATAGATTTCAATAAATGTGTTTGATTCAAATGTGTTTAAATTGACATTGTTGAAGAAGTTATTTTCAGTGTGCCATTTTATTTTGGGTGCCATTTTAGTCTATGGAAGAATTTGTTGGCCACTTCACTGGATGTGTGTGTTGTGTTGATTTCTTTGTTTTTCTTTTTTTTTTTTTTTAGTGCTATTTCTTCACAATTGAGTTTGGCCTTTGCAAGCAAGAAGGGCAGCTGCGAGCATATGGAGCAGGACTACTTTCCTCCATTGGAGAATTAAAGGTATGAAGCTGTGAATGAAAGTATCCTTCCCAAGCAAACTTGTTCAAGGTCATGGAAAATATTGATTTGTTTGTCTGCACATTTCTACTTGCAGATATTCCATAAATATTTAACACAGAGGATTTGGCACCTCATTGTGGGTGCTGACCTAACTTTTTGCACTTCTGAAAATGGGTCAGGCCTTTCTGGGTGTGTGGTGTGACTCAAATGGATGAACAGCCATGTGCACAATTAACAGGAATGACAAATGTATCCCCAAACATTGGCTAACAAATGACTGGCCTAAATTTAGTGCTGAAAAGCGGGCAATGAGCTAACAGTGATCCTACTGATTATAATTTCCTTGTAAGGGTGGCTTTCATTTTGTCATCTCTATGGCTCCCATGGACTCCTCATCATTGATTTCTTAGAGGTAAATTTGAGATTATTTTAGCTTCTTCAAAATTAATTTGTGTTAAAACATTGTGGACATACACAATTTGAAAAAAAATCCTAAATAAACATATGGTCTGAGAGGTATGTGATATATGTAGTGATGCTTAAGGAAAGCTATTTTTTTTGCCTTAAAATACAGTAAAATGATCATTTATTCAGAAGGGGCCTGGGGCATCTGATAATTTAAATACTCTGTTTACTTAAGAATTATTATCTATACCAATATACCAAGTTTTGTACAGCAAGTTTTGGTGAATTTAGAATGTGATGTAATATGTAATCTGGAAATGGTTCCAAAAATTTAATCTTTCTTTGATTATTTAGACTAAGAACAGGATTATGGATTATCTTAGAGTTTTTATTTTGAGTATTGATTATTGTTGGATAATTGGGAAATATATGACAATTAGAACTTTTTGGTTGTTTCTATTCTTGAAAGATGTAATTCAAGTTTAATTTTATCAAGTCCTCTCACTTTATGACTCCATTCATTCCCCAAACATTTGGTTGAGCACCTACTGTGTGCCATGTACTGTGCCAGTCACTGGGGGATACAAATACAAATAGTAATGATGAAGAATAAGAATAAGAAGAAAATAACAACTACCTCAATGGACATTTAAATAAACCTTACTATTTTAGTGCTTTAGACATATAAACTCACTTAATTCTCATAACAACCCAATGAGATAAGCAATATCATCACAGATGAGAAAACGGAGGCATAAAGACTAAGGAACTTGCCCAAAGTCACACAGCTAGGAGGTGCTGTGTAGGCAGTCTCGGCTTCACAATCTGAGCCTTTAACCATCAGGCAACACTGCCTAGGGTCCCTGTTACTAAAGAGTTTACATTCTAATGCAAGACATAACCGATCAGATAAAACAACCAGTGTGGCAAATGTGCCTGGCGCATATTAGGCCATGCCTAAGAAGGCTTCCTGATGACAGCCTGCTGCCCAAGCTGATTCTTGTTGAATGGAAAGGGTGAATGAGCAGAGGATGAGATGCCCAGATCAGTCATCAGACAGCAGTGTGTGTACTCTCGTCGAAGCCTGACCCATTTAGGGAGCTGCCTGAGACTAGACATGGCTGGAACAGATGATATTTAAAATAACAAAAGCACGATGAAATGTGGTAAGGTTTTTTTTTATTTTTTATGAAATTCTCAACAAAATAATCCATGTGGGGTTAATCTCAGCATAGTGGCCAGAGCCCACAGCAATAGCCTGACGTCATATCCCTGGAAGACCCCTGCCTTCTATAGAGTGCTTCTTGATCTCCCTGAGAAAAGAATTAGCCAGAAAATGAAGTAGCTCTTGAGCTACATCTATTTACATTCTCCTCAGAGGGTTTGTAAATTACGCCAGAAACCAAAGAAACGAATCTCTCTCATTGCCCCAACTTTCGTCAGGGTCCTCTGATCTGGTTAATGAGGCGTGTGTAGGCAGCATTGGGGTGAATCTGTTGTTTCTGTTCCTATGGGTGCGGACAGAATCATGTGGAAATGGAAATCAGCCAGAAATATGTACACTGAAGGGCATTGTCTGCCGTGAATCTTCTTGTTCTGGTCCATCACCTCCGGTCATTAGTTCTCTTCCATTCTCAAATTTCAGCACTCCAACATCCCTATGATTGCTACTTTGGACCATTTTTACAATTCAGAAGTTCTTTCTATAAGAAATGCTTTCTGATTGTTCACAGAGAATACATAACACGACACAGACGCTTTCTGTAGCAACCCTTCGTGTCATCCCATCCCTGGCCTGCTCTTGTGTATGTGTCCGGAGCCCTCTCACATCACTTCTGAATACTTCTAACTTTTATTTGAATGCACAAATGATAATCCTGGACCCATGTAGGAATAATTTTATTAATAGCATTATAATAATTCCATATGAAGCACACAATTTTGAATGCAGTTGCCTTGCAGCAAAATAGTTTTTGTTGTTCCAACTACAGCCCAAATATACGTCCCAGCTAAGTTGTTGGAGGTTTGGTGTAGTCTTTATAACTTCTATCTAAATATCCACAATTCACCTTCTCTTCTTGAACAGAACACATTTTAAAATTTGTGCTTTAAGAGGCTGGATTTTCCTGGGTGTAGATGTTGTACTTCAGAGCTGACCAAGTACTTCCAAGTGGTAGATCCATAGTTGATAGGGTAACTTTCATTCCCCCTGCTTTTTTTGTACAACAATGCTTCTTTTTTGACAACTTTTTGACAATGCTTATTTTTATCTTTGAAGACAGAAACAAAAATATTGAAAAGCTTGTAAAAGCTAACATAAATTTGATAATCATAAAGACTATGTTTTTTAAAAAAATTTCAACAATGGTTGCTCTGTCTTTTGTTCTACTTATCTGTTCTGTCATGAACTTCCAGGAATTCCAAAAGTATGTTTGGGTAGGGTCTTTTCATACCTTCATCACTGTGGAGAGACGTTAATAATGAGCTAAGTCATCTGGAAGGCTAACTTCTAAAAAAGGTTGAAAATAGGATCATAGACGGCCATTTGCCCACAGTCTATCATGTGCCTTTCCTTTCACACTTTTTCTTTCTACCCCAGAGTTAACCTAACTGTTTAAGTCTATCACTTAAAAATTTTATCATTCATTCATTCATTTTATTCAAAAAAACCCAAATTGAAGGTCTCAGATTTCAAGGAAGTTGGAGTCTCTAGTAAAGAAGTTCTAATGAAGTGACTGATATGGGTTTTCATTGAACCCAGTCCTCTTGGAGAAGGAACAGTGAAGTTTGTTCACATTAGGTAGGAAGGAAATGATTTCTAACTGAATTGGCTGAGTCTTATTTCAAAAACCTAAACCATCTCAAAAGCAACAGGCAATTCCTCCTTCTTTTTCATGGGTATTGGCCAAGTCTAGTTGTTTATTTCCTTAAGGGCAAACATTATTTTTTTTTTGTAAATGGCCATAGTACAGACCCCATAGTAGTCACTGGAATATTACATATAAATATGTCTGTTCTGCTTTTCATGAAGTTGATGGTTCAAAAAATTATTATTATTTTTTGGCTTTAGTTTTAGGATATCCTTGCACAGTGAATTTATTGTCCTGCTTTTTTATAGCTATTAGTTCAGCATTCACAGAACAGGTTTATATGTATTATGGTCATTTGTATTTACTACCACTTGCAGCAGCTCAGTGAGGTGGTCAGAACTACTGCTCAGCTGTAGAGAAGAGACTCGAGACACTGTAGGTTCTCTGAGGACATCTGGTATATCAGCAGTGTGGCTGGAGTTAGGACTCACTGCTTCTGAGCTCACACACCTTTACCCTGTTCGGCTGGCTCATGCCTCCCATCCTCCTTTTTTTTCCTTTCCTGAAGCTAGCACTGTTGGTAATGACTGAGCAAATGCTGGAGCACTGGGAGCTGGAAACAGGTCTTCAGTCTTTATGTCTTTATGAAAGGATTGCTTGAAGAGCTAGTTGGTTCCCTTGTCCCTCAGCTTATTTCAAATTGATGAAACTTCCAACATCACTGATTAAACAACAACAAAAAAAGCGCGATGCCATCATCACCCAATTTAGCAATAGGGATGTCAATACCACATTGTGCTTGGTTAGCAGGAGGAACATTCGAGGAAGGTTCAAAAAAAAATATACATACATACATATGTGCATATACAAATGTATATATTTGTTGTTTTGATGTGGGAAAAGATAATTGTAGTGAGTGTAGGGTTGTGTGAAAATTTTTATTCAGAATCTATAACCCAAATTAGCTATAATCTTGACTTCACACCTGAGTTTTTTCCCAACTTTAACTAGTCCTTATATAGAGGGTGAGGTTCACAGTGTTTAAATCTAGAATAATTGAGATAATAACTTTGTGTCATTGCAAAGGCAGGTGGCTGGGAGAAGAAGGAAGATTTTAAATTGATGAACCAAAGGCAGGCACTGTTGCAGTGTAGGACCTAGAAGCCTTGTAGCTAAGACCATGTTTATTTACTTGTGGGTTCTAAACCCCTGGGGGACAGGAGCTGCATCAGTGGTGGAAGCTGTGGCTGAATGTATATATATATATATATATATATATATATATATATATACCAAGCATCATCCTGAGACTAAATGAGCAATGGTAAATAAATATACTGAGCACTTCTTATGTGCCAGGTACTTTGTATATATTATCTCGTTTAATCCTTACCACAGCCCTGGGTTACAGATTCTATTATTATTTCCTTATTAATATTTCCAATTTTCAGATGAATATTGGAGTAGGCCTACAGAGGTAGAATTACTTTCCCACAGTCATGTAGAAACTTTAAGTAACAATTGGGTTCTGGGAAATTTTTGATGTTGCAAAGAGACTATTTAATTTGGAAGGCTAGCATGACAAGTAAGTCTTAATTTGCGCATCAACACCAATTAGTTAGTAATGGCCATCTCTGTTGGGAAGGCCATGCCCAGGCCCAATGGGAAAGGCTGCTATGGTCGATTAACGCTGACTGGTACGGAGGGAGAATGGGGGCGTGAGTGTAGGCCCTGTTAAAATTGTATTGCAAGAAGAGCTTTAGAATTCATGGAGGTCAATCCTTT